GTGAAACTTTTTTAGCATGAAATAATATCATTTTATGTGATTATATTATTATTACTATTATTATTATTGTATCCTTTAATTCCTACAGGAACATGGGGCTTCAGCCGTGCGTCTCCATTGCGTTCTGTTCTCTGCTAGGGTCTTCACCTGGCTCCAAGTCTGCCCACACGTTTTCATCTCCTCTTCACATGACCTCCTCCAAGTCACCCTTGCACTGACGACCAACTCGCCGCTTCCCTTTCGGGTTCCACTCGAGCAATGGCTTGTCCAGTGATGTCACTTGATGATTTCCTAAGAGTATGGTCAATCCATCTCCATTTCTTCCTGCCTATTTGTTTCACAATCGGTTCCTGGTTGGTTCGTTCCCAAAGATCCCTGTTGCTGATCTTTCTTGGCCAGCCATCTGATCTTGTGTGCTGAGCGAAAACAGCTGTTGATGAAGGTCTGTAGTTTGTTTGAGATGCTCTTAATGACGCTTAGTGCAAGTCTCTGATCCGTATAGTGGCACTGACTTCACATCGGAGTTGAAAATCCGGATCTTACTTTTGATGCTGAGTGTTGCTGACCTCCACACAGAATTGATAGGAGTGAAAGCTTGTCTTGCTTTTCCGATTCTTGCTTTGATATCCTCGTCAGTTCCGTCTGCCTGTAGTTGAAACGATGCTTCCCAGGTAAGTAAAAGAGGTTGTTTCTTTCAGGTTGCTCCCATTTATGCTGATCGTTGTCTGTTGTTGTTGTTGTCCAGGAATTTTCATCACCTCTGTTTTATCTATGTTCACCTGTAGTTCTATCTTTGATGCTTCTTCTGCCAACTTGTTACTTTTACTTGCATATCTTCCAGTTTGTGGGAAATCAGACATATATCATCGACGAAGTCCAGATCATCCAAGTTTTTCGGTAGGGTCCATTTTATGCCAGTTTCCTCATTGCCCCCTGTTTGTCACATTATCCAATCTACTGTAATCAGGAAAATCATTGGCGATAGTAGGCAGCCTTGTCTTAGTCCTGTCCTCACTTCGAAGGATTCCGTAAGTTTCCCGTTGTGGATTACTTGGCATGCTGCATTGTCGTACAGCTGTTGGATGAGATGTATACTTGTCGGTGGCACCCCGTAGTAGCGAAGTAGTTTCCAAATCACCTCTCGATCGACGCTGTCGAAGGCCTTTTCAAAGTCGATGAAGCTGAGATAGAGAGGTGACTGCCACTGCAAGCTTTGTTCAATGATGATCCGTAGTGTGGCGATCTGATCAATACATGACTTGTTTCTCCTGAATCCAGCCTGTTCTGGTCGAAGTTTTTCATCCAGGGCTTGTTTGATCCTTTCCAGGATGATGCGGCTTAGTATTTTGCTTGGGATGGACAGGAGCATAATTCCGCGCCAGTTCTTGCATTGACTTAGGTCTCCTTTCTTTGGTAGTGATTATATAATTCTTGATTATTTCAAAATGTGTATGAAGGGAAGTGTTACAGAAATAGTGTTTAATCCCTTTTCTGAATAAAGTAATAATCCGATGTGTAATTTTGAGTAATTACCCCAAAACATTTCAGCAAAGTAAACCCAGATACAATATTGTGAAGCTGAGGCTGATCCTGGGGTGAAAAAAAACCAACAGTTAGAGCACTTGGCCGAGAAGAAGTGTCAGTGTTAATAGTAGAGTTTTGAAATTATGTTTCCATGGGTAAATGTCCATTTACGTACTTTCTAAAGCAAACTTGTTAGTGTGCATTTATGTTGTAAGTGATGGAGAATACCCATCAGGATATTAGCATGTTGGCTATAAATCTCTTATATAGCAGTAATTCGTTGATTTTAAGATTCCATTTTGGAAACTAGATATCAAGCATTTTACCCAAAGCTGGCCAAGTGTAGTGCCCATGGTAATTTTATCTTTGTGTCTGTAGGTATCATTGGATACGCGCCTCTGTAAGACCTTTCATTTCACGACGAAAATTCATACTGAAGTCCATCCTAAAATTGATCAATTTTCCACTAAATCCTATCTCTTTTCAACAAGCTTATGTGAATTCACTCCAGAAATCTGTCTTCCAGTCACCAAATTGACTTAAGCTGATGCAAAAAGGCTTTCATTGATGTAAAGTCATTTGGGTATGCGTATAATGCATAATGTACACAGTGTACTAATTGACACGCAAACAGAAGCCAAATTATCACTTGCGTATTACTGAACAACTAAAAATACATAATCTTTCAACTCTTAATCAACTAAATTATAGGAAAAACAGATGTATCATTCCCTATTAGGCGTCTTTAATGAATAAATTAGGAAACGATAATGCTGTTATGTTATATAGAACAGCAATTATTTATACAGCGCACTAAAGAATATTTTCAAAGTCTTAACTGATGAACTATGCACTGAAATACAGCAACTTGAGTTTACCTAGAATGACACTATTTGAGATCTTTTATAGGAGGAACTATTCTATCAAATTTATTTAGACAATTTTACACTTTAAAATAACATTTTTTGTTTCAGTTAGTTTTCCTCGGACTTTACTCTCATATGCCAAGGAAACAAATGAATAGGATTTGAAAAAAAGATGCATTGTGGGCAGGCCGGTGCTTCAATTGTAGAATGCTTGACAGCCACATACGTAAGTCAGGTGCAATTCCCATCAACACAGTCCCATAACTTTCCTAGTTTAGTACTGATAACAAGACCGGATAAGTGGGAAAGTTAGGCGTGATACTGACAATCCCATCCCGTGTAAACAGCACCACCGGTACAGAACTTTCAAAAGCTTTAACGCATATATTCCACTTGGAACACAAGGAATGAGAACAAAATGGATACGAAAAAGTTAATGGAAGGTTCGATTAGATTATGTGTACCTGACACAAACTTTAGCCGTTCAAATCTTATCATTATTGTTACTATAGAACCGAATTCAGTTCAGAATATATGTTAGCTCATAGTTATGAGAACCAGGTTGCGGGTTCTATTTTATCCGGAGGTCATTATCCAAGTTTAACTGAGTCTTAGTTTTGATATTTTTAATCTGAATACAACTCAGCAACCAGAGCTTCAATCACCGCATTAACTGTCTATTAGGATAATGAGTTGCAACAAATACATTCTGGTCAATAATCAGTTGAATACTGGAATGTTCATCTTTGCGGGACTAAATTAATTATTGTCCTTTTCAGTGACCCAGAAACTCCTATATTTTCCATAATGAGGTTTCTATATTTATTCTGAACGGCTTTACAGATACCAAAGTAACATTTGCCGCAAGAAATGAATTTCCTTCATTCTACGATGTATATCAACACGTTAGTGAAATATAGTAGTCACCAGTTTGAGTAAAGTAAAATCCTAGATTGGTTTAATTTTGACTAGTAATTATCACTAAAGCATGTCACGGAATTCACACTATTATGAACATGTAATTGTGAATTGTTCTAAGGCCAAAAGTCACCTTTACCCAAGACTGAAACTATGTCAATCATGAACCGGGGCTGGGACAAGCGACGTACTATACCTAGTAACTGATAAAGTTATATTTTAACGAATTTTTTTATGTCCATGAAAACATTTTCTAGACAACTGTAAACTGTAAGTTTTAATTTTGTAGAACTTCAGTTGCATAAGATCATCAGCTCATTTTACCACTTAAAAAATTGTCGCCTTATTGAGGATAAATTTCGTCATTTCCGATTGGCGGATACAAAACAAACAATTATTTTTAAAAATTTATAACTGTTGTTATTAATGGAAGGTAGCAGATCAAAATGGAAGTAGAGCAGTTTTATAAATTACATGAATTACTGTTATCACCATTATTATTTACAAATACAGTTCCATTGTGTCAGTTATATATATATATATACTATGGAAGATACAATAATTTCAGTGCATGCATTAAAATGTATGCATATCACACTGATGAAGAGATTGGTATTCAATGTACTGAATAATAGGCTGTCTCTAACTATTGCTAATTATGTTTTATATAATTCAATGTCTGATCATCATTACTATCATCTATTGAAAATATAATAAGGAATCAAATAAACAGACAAGTAAAGCGATAACATTAGAATGTAAAGTAAACGAATGCAAATCATAGTAGAAATAAAACAGCAGTCGAGGAAAAGGATAGAGGTACAAACTCACACACAGGATACAAACTGGGAAAAACTCACCTACTCTTCCTAAGGGTGAGTATCAAAACCTTAATCATACGAAATATTACATCAGCTAATGAAAAATGTAAGAAGAAATGAAGAGAAGAAAAGAAAAGAACAAGATTGTAAAGATTATCTTTTATGTGTACTCACTAGAAGTATTAATAACCACAATATATATATATATATATATATATATATGAGCATAACCGTACTTGTAGTGAAAACATTGAAGTATGCTTCTATAGAAGAAGTGAGCAGTTGAAAGGTAATTAATTAAGGTTTTGTGCTACACAATGTGTATGATTAGCTTGAAAGTCAAATTTAGAATGATCACAATACAACAAAAGAAAGGAAATAATAACCACCTCTACTGTATGAAATGCAAAACACTACCACTCTCTCAGCTAACGAGAATAATGATGATAATATTAATAATAATAATACAACTAACACTACTAGCAGCAGTATCTTTAATACCATCAGCGTTTAGGGATATATAAAGTGTTGTTTCTTTTTTAAATGCACATCGGCACTTTGAGAATAAAGTAGGCAGGAAAAAAAACAAAGACAAAAATTAGCTTGGATGCTGGAAGGAAAGCAAAACCAAAAAAACCGCAAAGTAAAAATTTCAAATTTCAAAATCAAATCATCGGAAAAAAAATCAACCACCACTTGTAAGTAATCTAATAGAAAACAAACAATGAGGGAAGAAAGGAAGAGGGAAACAAATCCCCGGTCTCTTTGTCCATATTTTTATTTAAAAGTTTGCCTTTTTGCCACAAAAGTGAATATCAACGAATATCAGAGAAATGCATGCATATTTGATATTTGTCTTTATTTTTCTTTTTTAAGATGAGAGTGAGTCATTTTCAGAAGTCTTAGTGTCCACTGTCAATTCTGTTGGTGTTTCCTTTTCACAATCGGTACTTTGAGTTGTTGTTTCAACAGCTGAAGTAAAAGGGTTTTGAAAAAAGGAAAACAGATCACCAGTTTTGTCACATTATATATTTACTGTTGAAAACAAGCTGATCACAATGGAATGAGAAATTAATACTTCTATTAATGACCAAATATTGTCTCGAAAAGTTGAAATGTTAATATGTTGATAACGAACAATCGTTACTGGACACGGATGATTTTTTGTGTGTATTATTTGCCTGTTTACTAAGTTTGTTGATAGCAGCTGCCATAAATATAGCTTCAACTATTGAGTCGTAGGTCTGAATTCACGATACAAAAGGACAGATGTAAGAGAATAAATAGATAGACAGATGCTTAGTCCACTTCTAGTTTCGATCCTAATCTACTGAATAAATCTGTTATAAAACACTGCTGTTCACCATAATGCATGAAAATTTTATATCAGATGTTAGGATTCAAATGGGCAGTTATGACCTCTAATATATGTATAAAACTTGAGCACTGTGGTAGTAAGTAATTCCATTTTAATCTGTTTATTAGATGTATCACACAGTGAAACAGTATTATTTACTGGATGACGTTTCGAACACAATTTATTAATTTTCATAATCGTTTCATCAGTTATAATCACACGACTTCGAAACTTGATTTTTATAGGTTCCTTTGTCCTCTCCTATTTGCCGTCATTGGGGTAGTAGAATTTTCCAGATATCTGGGACAGGTGTTGAATCATTCCTAATACACGTGTTTGCAGTTGATTCGATAAACAAAGCTTCAGTTATCAATCTCTCTCTCCACCTTGCTGCTACATTAGATTCTAAAACTATCATCTTATCCCATCCAGCCTATTTTATGGTTGTGTGTAACTGCATGTAGTGATTGGTATAGCTGAACTATTCTCTAGATTTCTTATCTTATTTAGGTCAACTAATCTGGATTTTGCTAGGTTTTTATGCTCGGCTAGTATGACTGCTCCTGTTCTACTTCTTTAACCTATATATTCGACCTGACAATCATCGTAGGCAGGGTATTAGATAAACTAAATTGTTTTGTTTTAACGACTCCAAAGGATCCTTTGACCGACATAGCTTGTTTCTATTTGAGTTTGTGGGTTTCAATGCCAGCCACTTTTATTCCTGCCTTGTTAAGAATTCCGCGTAAGGTTTCCGAGGTTCCTTCGTTGTATGAAATTACTACTGGTGATTTGGATCACTTATTGTTGGTGTTGTCATTATCTTGCACATGTTTGACATGCATGTCGTCATTACTATTACTATTATTATTATCACTATCACCACTATCATTATTTATTTTATTTTAATTTTTACATTTCCCTACATGCTTCCTGATTAATTTATCTTTGTAATTATAAAGTTACAAAGCTTCTCTTGCATGCCTCACATCCTGTCTTAGATTTTCCTGGGTACTATTTAAATATTTCACCAATCCTACATTTTTTTTTCTACTACCCCTACGACAAATAGGAGAGAACAAAGGAAACTGTAAAACTCAAGTTTCGAAGTTGTGTGATTATAATTGATGAAACGATTATGAACAGTAATAAATTGTGTTCGAGACGTCATCCAGTAAATAATACTGTTTCACTTTGTGATACATCTAATAAACAAATTAGTATGGTATGACCTCTAATGCCTAAAGGTAAAAATTCCAACTTTTACACCAAGTTACATACATATGGCTGTCAGAATGCGGTGGAGTGCTTTTCGGTTTCTGTAATGAAGGTCAACATATTCCAAGTTTTCTGTTTAATGATCTTGAGTATCCACTAAATAATCCTTTATTAGGTGTTTGGACTATAAATATCGCGTGGGCATACTGGACTATGGTAAATAGTAGGTAAACCATTTTGATTTGGTTGTGTTCTCTGAGCTGGTTGATTTAATAGTGAAGCTTTCGTTGTACATCTGGACAACATCTTTGGCGCAAGCTTTAATCCAATATGAACTTGTTTGAATTCTCTATGACAAATGTAATTGTATCGCCTGATAATCATTTTTGTGTTGGTTGTCACTTTACATTGTGCCGATTTTGGAGCACGTTGCGCACAGACTATAACTGTCAATTTCTAAACATACTTAAGATCAGACAGCTGGTAATCTTAGCGAAGCGCTTTCAACAGTGGTAGATGACTTCATTTATAAATGTCATGTCAAGTTCGTTGCGATATATCATGCTGAATTACGAAAGCGTAAAGGTTTGACTTCGCATCACGTGACCAAGCAACGAAATATGTTCTTTAAAATGGAATCATCATATGTGCATTTACTTCATAAAAACTGTAGAAAAATTAAATCACTTTAGCAAGCAGGTCACTAGCAAATTTTGTCATTCTCACATTCTTACATTTAAAGTGCACGGTAAATACCGCCTGATAGCATGAACACTTAGAAGGTGTTTGAAACCAACTGGTAGTGTTCACTAGACACAGTTTAATATAACCACAGTACATCTGAAATGAATCGATTTAACTATACTGTCGATACAATTGTTTCCCAAACAACAATTCATTTAAATACGATGGGTTCACCCACAGCTGTTTGCTAGATGACATCCGGGCTTCCTAGGCATTCATTCCTTAATTTATAATGTGCAATCATTCTGTTCACTTTGTTGGCAGCATTTCCCCCGCACAACTGATCAAGGTGTTTGGTTTTAGGACATTATCTTTCAAAACAGTCTAGTATGGAAATATGCAAATGTGTTAGGCACTAAATATACGTCACTCAGATAGTGAAAATAAAATCTCGATTTTATCCCATTTAATCAGTAGTAAGATAAAGTGAACATTTCTAAATACTTCACTTTTATACAGTAGCTCAAACGTCAAAGTTTGTAATCTTCTAACCCAATTTTTGAACATCCTATCATTTCATACTTATCAGTTTTCCTAAACATACTGTAAAAATCTGAAAAACAAAAACCTGTGAAGTTTTATTTCTGTGAAAATCAATTTTATACTTTGAAAAACTTACATGTTTCAGCGGCAGTCGCCAGCTTTTCCTCTTTTTCAAAAGATTCAGCTATTGTTACGTCTTCATCAGACGAAGAAGATGCATGTTTTTCTACTTGTCCTTCTTGGACATCTGTTTTATCGTCAGTAACATTCTCATTGTCAGCAGTAGTTGTTGTTAAAGGAACAGCTGATGATGATGATAACTCGGGATGCATGACTTCGATAACTGTAGATACGGAGCTTGACTTTTGCCTGTCTTCTTCTTCATCCTCTTCCTCCTCATCATTCTCTTCTTCTTCCTCAACAATTTCTGTATTGGGTCCAACCTCTTCTTCAATCACTTCAGCCAGAACTTCAGCTGGTGGTGGGGGAGGAAATGGCTCAATATCCTCACTGCCCTCACTTGCAGACGTTGTGGACTCACATGGTGAACAAGGTCTTTCAATTTCAGTGACTTCATTTGTTTCCTCAGCATTTTCTCTGGACTTTTCTGGTGTTTTAGTGTCATCATCAGATTTAATAGTGCTGGGTATGTTTACGTTATCTTCGAGTATGTCCAAAACTCTAGTTCCATTGTATTCACTGTCATCGTCAACTACTACTTGTTCGGATGACCCGTATTCAAGACATTGATTAATAGAAGAGAGTAATCGACTTCTACTATTATCGCTATTATCATGAGTGGTTTCAGCAACAGCCTGAAAAATTTCCAAGGTGTTAAATCACAAATCACTGGTTAGAAGTTATAATTCCTTAGGAATATTAAAAATTTATTATTTAAATATAAGGCTTATGTGTCACATATATAAATTGCTGTAGGACTATTTATTAAATTTTTACTAGTATTCTTTTGCGATGTAGCCAAACATTTTAATAGCCGATGGTCATCAGTCTAAGAATTTGAAAAGTCACAGGGTTGAATATTGGACGGTATAGATACATTATTATTGGAACATGGTTGGAGGCGATTGTCAGGAAATCTGGGAACTAGGATTAGAGTTTATAGTCACTTGTCAGGAAAGCATACCTACAAGCCTAAGGAAACTGATTTCTCTTTAGAGATTCGAGCCCGCATAACTAAACAGCTAAATGGCGAAGTCTCTGACCACATCACTAGGTGAAATGGGTTTGAATCTCCAAAAGGATATCAGTTCATTCAAGACTGCATATATGCTTTTCTGACGAATGCCAACAAGCATGAAGTCTAGGTTGACGACTTCTTACTGATTGCTTTCAGTCATCTAACATCATTCTAAAATGCACCGTGATGGCTAGTCATCCAGATTGATGGCTACAATCGAATATGGACTGATAGAATTCGGTCAGCAGCTGCAATAAGAACAAGCCAAGACACTGATTACTCCCTAGTGACCTATAGATATGAGCGGTGATATTCAAGAAGTTTTCAAGGACATTCAAAGGTGTGAATTACAGCTTAAAAGAATATACGTACTTCCAACTCAACTTTATTTCATACCCTGTAAAAGAAACAAAATGAGTGAAGGCTAATCAGATACCTATGTGTGATGAAACTTCTCAATTCTGAAAGGCAACATACAAGTACTGACCAGTCTAATCTAAGTAATGGAAAGGGAACATTTGCAGAAAATCAATACAACACAGGATAACATCGTAGGTAATAGTGTATTAAGCTAACAAGTGAAAGCCGCCTGAAGAATTAACTCATTTTATTCATATAAAACAGTAAAATATGATCTGTAGAAAAGTCTTCTGGCTATGTGCACTTATAAATGCATCAATAAAAATCTAATCTAAGGATACCCAAATCTCAAGACTGACATTTTGAAATAAGACGTTATTGATGGACATAAAAATCATCCCACGATCTTTGTCCATTTTAGTCACCAGTATTAAAGTGAAATTTTCTTCATTTTCTCTTTGGAAAATAATTTTTACGGAAATCCTTTTCTCTATAGTTAGACATTAAAGGCTACGATCTTTTATTTTGAAAGGAAAGGATAAAGTACAGTAGATGTAAAGTCATGAATGTGCAGACCAGTGCAGGTTACTCAGTTAGTTGACATGTTGTGCTTATGGGATACCTGATTAATTCTAAGATTGAATGTATCGTTAATTGAAATCAGATAAGGAAATTCTGAAAACTGAAATCGATGAAGTCAATCAAATAGCTACAAACTCATAACTTAGTTTCCTTTGATTTCCAGTTGATGAGTAGCTACAAAGTGGATTCCATGAATTTCTAGTCAGAAGTTTTGGTCGGTGTGTCTGCTTATATCAACTGTGGAAAGTAACTCATCAATAACACTAAGTGGAGATAGTACCCTTATCACGATTTCGCAAAAGCTTCAAATTATGAATCGTTGGATTCCAAACCACTGACTGTTACGTAACATGTCTACCTAGTAACCTGATGATTCTGAAGTCAATAATCGATGAAGCTACGAGTGCCCACAGCTGAATAGTCACTAGGTTGGAAAATAGCTAATGGTTCTTCTTTCTTTCCCAGTAGCCATTCCAAATGACGAAATCAATCTTGAAAGTTTGCAGCCTATTTATTAAAATTCAGTGTCTTCCACTGAAACGGAGACTGGTAATTTCTTACACGTTCTAATAGGTAAGCCAAATATTATTCACCTGTTTAAAATAACTTAGTTCTTTAGACAGAATAACCGCTTCCCAAGATGACATTCTATTGACTATGAAGACCTAAAATAAATAGAGGTTGTGTCCATCATAAATATATATTCATTCCTTTGACGTTAGAAAAGGAACATTGGTCTTCAGGCTCTAAGCTTTGAAGTCTGAGTAGCGCTCATGTTGTTTTCACTGCATGTGGTTGCTAGCCTCACGTTTAACCTCCCCTCTCTACCGGGCTTACTACTGATATAAGGCAAGTTTTAGGATTGCATCGCGTGAAAATCAATACCTGAAACACATACATGGCTGGTGGACATTCTACCCCTGAACCACTGATACTGTGCATCATATACACTACACTATGAACGAATAAAAATGGAGTTATGAATTACCTCGTCTATTAAATCGATTGCCTGTTGGATCATTATTTCTCCTGGCTCATCATTTTGATCACTGATTGGTGGGATTATGTAAGGAATTGGTGGAGGACAAGTTGGTGCAACTGGAGGTACTTCAACTGACTGTTCAGTCACTGGTTCAGCTGATCCATTTTCCTCTGTCTGCTTTACAGTGGTTGCGGTAATATCTACATTTTCATAATAACTAGGACTCTAGAAAAGGAATACATAGCATTAACTAGCAGTCTAATTACAAAAGGACTTAAAAAAATATGATAATCTCTTAATTACTGAATGAAATGACCACATTGACAGTTACACTGTTCTAGCTAGAGAGAGGTCTTGGAGAATAAACATAACAAATCGATATCAGGTTGGTTCTGCATAACGCGTCAAACAGAATTAGAGAATGAAAGTAAACGACATGTTACTTTATCATTCAAATAAATGTGTTCAAATGCTAGTTCGCTCACAACCCTATATCTTGTAAATAACTAAGCAACATTCCGGTTACTTTCAGTCCTCAATAAGTATCACACCCACCCTTAATAAACATATTAAGTATCCCACTACAATGGAATAATAGAAACCAAAGTATTAATTCAATTCAGGTAACCAGACGTGAATGTGTTTTGTATCCAACGTCCGGACATTATTTTAGCGGTTTTAAAAGCAATTCTGATTAATACTTACACTGGCCATACATACATGTTAGATATTCTATTGGTGTGGTTACCATCCTGTATAAGAATTTCGTCTCACAAAAAATACAAACATTAAAGAAACCGTAGCAACTATGTGTCTTATAGCTAGCTATCTAGTCGATGTTAGTAATGCCACGGTAAATATTTCCTTCTGAAACAGACAGATAATCAGCTGCCATTATCACTGTTAGATGCATTCCACACCCCTGCCATGGATTAGATTTAAGCTTATGATAAGGGTTTGATTTGGTTGGTTGAATAGCTAGGAAATTTTATTACATAAGAATCAATGTATCACTCATGTACTCATGCGTCTGTATGTAAGATGTCTCACACCCTTTTCCATATCTGAACTGAGCCTTGAAAATTTGGTACCTCATAACAAGCAGAGCCTTATGAATTTCAAAGCTGATACGCGCATATAATGAGATTTATGGAATAAAAAAGATATGTTATAAATCATGTGTGTGATTTCAGCTAAGCAAATCGAAATTCATTCTTAGAAACAATGGCTTTGAAATACGATCTTTCAAATATTTTTTTTTTGCAAAATGTATCCAGGAATATTCCGGGTACGATTCATTATCAGTATATATGAAATTTTACTCCACTATTTCAGTGAATAGTGTGAAATTAAAGAAAATTGACTGACCGAACTCAGTAACGGCTACGATTATTCTGGAATATGAATTAAACAGATATACTTTCAATTTATCGGCATACTATTTACAACTGTACGAATTTAATCGACTAAAATGTCAACGGTATGTTGCTAAGTCGTTCAAATGACAGGACTTTTCCAGTGATCTAGTGTTAAGATACATTTATTTGAATAGCCTAGGAACATGTCGGTTACTATCAACGTGTATTCCTCGTGAAATGTATTAATGAACTCTATCTCCTCAGTTGTAAGTTAGTCAGCAAATGTTCCAATGCTGTATATGTGTATCTGCAGTGAAGTTGTTCACTTCTCAAAACTCAATATTTATAATAAACGTTTATTTATGTAGGAAAGCATGAGAAGTTTGTAATTATTCATTGGGATCATTCAAGGGTTGATTTGTAAGGATTGGATTTGTTTTTCGAATTTGACCATGGATTGATATCGGTTAGAGAACCATTAGGAATCGTCTACAAGATGTAGTAAATGTGTAATGGAATTTCAGAATGTGTTTTTCTTCATGAATGAAATGAAAGTTAGTGAAAATAAGTTAATCAGTGAAGTAAGCGTCGAAGTATTTCTGATTAATACATGAACACGCTACGTGTTATTCAGGTAATCCACAACGGAAAACTCAGCGAGGCGTTCGAAATGCCTACAGGAGTAAGACAAGCTGGCTGGCTACCTGTTATCGCCGATGATATTGTTGATTGTGATGGACTGAATTATGCGTCAGACTGTGCTTGGGGGCGAGGAGTCAGGAATACGCTGGACGACAGATAAGAAGACTCTAGAAGATCTGGATTTCGCAGATGATATATCTCTGACGTCACACTAACTCGAAGAATTGCAAGCGAAAACCAACAAACTGGCTGAAGAGGCTGGCAGGTAGCGAAGACAGTATTGCAGGTGAACATAGAGAAGACCGAGGTGATGAAGATAACCAACGAACCATAAAAACATCAACAACGACCAGCACGAATCACCATCAACGGGAGAGATTCGACAGAGGTTGCCTCCTTCACTTATCTAGGAAGCATCGTTTAACTACAGGCGGAACGGACGAAGATGTCAGAGTCAGTCAGAATCGGAAAGGCAAGACACTCCTTCATCAACCCGAAACCAGTTTGAAAATGTTCCGCCCTCCACAGCATAAGGAACAAGATTCGCATTTTCAACACCAATGTGAAGTCCGCCAGTGCTTCTATACGGGTCAAAAACTTGCATTGCATATCACGAAAAGGATTTCCAACAGGCCACGTAGACTTTCATCAACAGCTGCCTCCTTCACTGGCTGGCTACATACTGAAGATCTAATGGCAGGCCAGAAAGAATAAGCAATAAAAAACTCTGGGGACAAACCAACAGTCAAGAGCCGTAGGAGAAAGTGGAGATGAATAGGGAATACATTGAGGAGGCTGCCGAATGACGTCGCACTCCATGCCTTCGAGAGGAGAATCCCAGTGGGAAGCGACGAGTGGGTTGTCAGTGCGAGGGTGACATGGAGGAGATCGTGTGAGGAAGAGATGAGAGAGTTTGGTCAATCGTGGACCCAGATGAAGAGGACGGCAGAAAACAGAACAAAGTGGAGATGTGTTGTTGAAGCCCTATGTTCCACTCGGAACGCAAGGGAATAATAATAAAATAAAAATAAATAATGATACTTGTTACCATTACGTTGATAGACAGCATTTATTTCATTTGATGTATTCTCAAACATCTGACTATGAAGGCAATGACTATTTAATTTTTAATCTTTTTCCTAATTATCTTAGTTTTATTTCTTATTTTGTGATACTGCCCAGTGTGAAATGTTTAAAGTACATTCACTAAATGATTATGCAAAGTTCAGTAGCTCAATTTGTGATGAATATGATCTGAATATTCACTCACATAAACTGCTTCCATCATCTAAGATAATCTAAAGCCGTACCATACAGGGCAGATGGACACACAAGCATAACGTTTATACGATGTAAATTAATTCCCATCTCAATAAGGAAAAACCGGCTGGTATCTGAGACACACTTTGCCCATCTCTGCAACCACGTATCGCATATGCAGTGAGATATAAATTCGTGAGGAATTTGTTCCCTTAGTTACCATATGACAGAAAATGGTGTTGTGTATAAGGATAATGAAATGTCAGCGTAAAAATATATGCATGGTTTCTTGATTAACTGTCAATATTTTTTTGAGATATAACTGACAACTGTTTTCCATTGACTGATCACAACAAATGTAAAAATTTTGTCAAACCTACCTGCTTTTTTCTATCACTGGATAGATGCTGATCTTCTTTAGGTATTTCTTCAGAAGTGGATGGTTGTCCTTCATCTTGTTTTTCATTGATCACTTCCAAATCACACTTCACCTTATTTATATCCGGTGTATACGAAAACGACTCACATGTAGACGAGGGAATCTGTGGTTCAGATTTTGTAATTGAAGTTGAAGTATCAGTTGCAATCTGTTCGTGCAAAGAGGCTTCTTCACCATCTTGATAAGCTAAAGCACCCTTATTGGCAATGATAAGCAAATTGTCTTCTAAAAAAAAACAAATCCAAAAAAGAAATAATTCACACGCGTAAGGTTTCCGCCAGTTCGGCTGCAGTTACAGATAATCACTTATGATGGGAAACGCAGAATCATCAAAGTGTTAACAGTAATAATAAGGGAAAAGTAGACTGCTGTTTTGATTTTGCTGATAAAGTTTCCGATTGTGTTTCATTCACACTTCATTCTCTCTTGGTGATAAGCAGTTATTACTTAGTAGACAACTGTTCCAAATTTCTTTCATTAGTAAGAAGCTTAATGAAATAAATTTACTGATATAATTAACACTAAGCAGAAAAATGTTCAGATTGGTTCCCAGTTTGTATATGAATCATTGAGAATTAAGTAACTCACTGCAGCCGTTTTTTCCTAGTTTAAATCCATTCCGTATTACATTTTTGAAGAAAAATCTGCTTGATTTGTAGTGGTGAAGAAAATATTATTGAAGGCAGAGGTGAAATTTTGAAAGAACAGTGAAACATTTTTCTGGCTACTACCCTTCTCTCTTGTTATACAAATGTAACCAGTCATAATCATACTCACAGTTTAAATGAATAAAGCTATATACTACAAAGTGATTCAGTTGAGCGGCTGTACATCACTGACATTAACCAGTAGAGCTTGTTAGTCGGATTGAAGTGATCTAAGCACCACGGTGCTGTTCCGCTTGTTTCAGGCTGACTTCATCAGCGGTTTACCCCGTTTGAATTAGATCAGAGAAACAAATCAGTTGGAACTATCCGAAACCTGGCTGCTTACTTGGGCGATCTGGTAATTCGGTATATTAAAATCGCTAAACATTTTGCAAATAGTGAATTTAAAACTCAAAGCTTGTTTGAAAGAAGTGATCAAAAGGATTCGAATGTTCAGTTCTGCACGGCAAATATCTTCAATTTATTCACATTTCTATTAGTTCTGCTTTACTTTAAAGTGAATTCTTAGAATACTCTATGTGAACCAAATTACATTCAGTGCTAATAGTATATGGACAGATTTATAAATTTGTAATATGTGAGGTGATTAATGTTTCTTACTCTGTGTAATTAATTTACCGGCAAAGAAATATATGTGATGTATTTTCACACTTTGAAAACGCATTTATTTATTTGATGGGCAAAATTTCGGATGTAAAATTAAGCAGTTAATGATAAACGGAAGTAAACTGTCACAGTTTAAGGGAGAAAGGCATTGCACTACGTTTTAAAGTGATACAGCAGAGTACACATTAACATTGAAAATTTTCATGTGTATATCTGAATTAATCACAGTACTGTGAAATGTTTCAGTGTGCACATTGTTTAACTAAACGACATTTAAAAAAAATTATGATTCATGTCTTATTAGAGTTTAAGAGAAACCTTAGGATTTTTAATCCTGTTCAGTAGTCCAGGACAGTTAAAACTCCTGTGTCATTGGCCAGCTTGATATGTCCGCAAATAATAGTGCTGCGATAACAAATACTTTCTAGTTCTTGAAGCCATGAGAAAAGTGTAGAGAAAACAGACTTGTCTGAGCCGCTGAAAACAAACCACTTTATATGGCGAAAACCCATTACATATATATAGTCAATACTCGGGAAGTTAAGGCAGTTGAATGATTAATTGGGTGAGTTGCACAAGGTTAGGCACCTAGTTGTCCAATTAAATTCTGCCCCAGCCAAATGAATTAATTTGTGAATGCTCATGCAAGCTGGTCTAAGTCGGGCTTTTTTCTGCACATTATAGTTAATATAGGATTATGAAGAATTAGAGATATGTACTACATGATTATGTACATTTATGAATCACCATCAAGTATGCTCAACAAGCAACTTCACAGTTATATTTTATATACGCACTGATTAGAATACCTCTAGGCTTAAGTTTAAGTTTAGTAATCATGATACCGTTTAGTACGTCGGTGGTACAGCGGTTAGGACCATGCAAATGGTCCGAGGGTCAATCCCCGGCCAACGCATTACTTTACCTCACTAAGCCAGCAATAAAACTGGTAGAGAGGAAAGGTTGGGCATGAGGCTTGCAACCCCATCCTGTGAAATTAAACACTGCTACAGAAACTTCAAGCCTCTAGCTTGGAGCCCTATGTTCCACTGGGAACGTGAAGGAATAAAAAAAGATACCATTTAGACCTACTATTTATAATTGATTCTTCTTTACCTTCACTGGGAAGCCCAGATTTTTCAACATCTGATTGATTTGACTTTTGCTCTTCATCGACCTGCTTACAGGAAGTTTGGTCGATAGCTTTTGTTTCTTCTGCATCACGGCGACCACTATGTCTACGTCGATGATGCTCATGATGATGTCTATGCCGTGTCCCTTGTTTTGAATGATGTCTTTGCGGTTCTGAATCAAATGTATCCCTCTTATCTTTCTTTTTGTGGGATGAACTTGCTTCTGTTGATTCAAAGGTTTGTGAATCTTGTCCAACAGCTGTCGATTCTGACGCCCTGGAGATGAGATAAAAGCAAGTGATATGATCTCTAAACATTACAGACAAGTCAGTGATTAAAAGTAAAATAAAGGTAAGTGATTTCAGATACACTTTGTCTTCATTAAATCTGACGTACAGTTTCATTTTATTATTCCATCCTTATAAATAACTTTCAGAGTTAATTACTGCAAAGTAGGTAAATATGTTTTATTCTTCGTAAAAATTCACACTTTCGCCTAATTTTCACTATTGCATTTCCCGTCTGGCTGCCAGAATATTTAAGAAATTGTTTTACACTTATAATACAGCTCTCCCAAAGATAAGATAAAAATGAGTTGAATACATTTATTCATTGTTTAAAAGGCAGAATCATAGAATAAAGCAATTCCCTTAATAAACGTTGACGGCTGATAAAAAGCCGAATTCTGTATTATATATTCTGATAACACTCATTCGAAAGTAATAAAAGACAATTCCTCAAACAAATCATCACCAAAGTTTGTATAACCATGTTTATATTTACGTCTGATTTCCCACCAACTGGAAGATATGCAAGCGAAAAGTAACAAGTTGGCGGAAGAAGCATCAAAGATAGGACTTCAGGTGAACATAGAGAAAACAGAGGTAATGAAGATTCCTGGACAACAACAACAACAGACAACAATCAGCATAAATGGAAGGAACCTGAAAGAAACTACCTCCTTTACCTACCGACCTGGGAAGCATCGTTTCAACTACAGGCGGACGGAACTGACGAGGATATCAAAGCAAGAATCGGAAAAGCAAGACAAGCTATCACTACTCTCAAGTCTGTGTGGAGGTCAACAGCACACAACATCAAAAATAAGATCCGGATTTTCAACTCCAATGTGAAGTCAGTGCTACTCACAATACGGATCAGAGACTTGGCCAGCGCGTCATAAAGAGCATCTCAAACAAACTACACACCTTCATTAACAGTTGTCTTCACTCAATACTCAAGATCAGATGGCCAGAAAAGACCAGCAACAGAGATCTCTGGCAATGAGCGAACCAACCAGGAACCGATTGTGAAACAAATAGGCTGGAAGAAATGGAGGTGGATTGGATTGGCCATACTCTGAGGAAACTATCAAGTGACATCACTAGACAAGCCATTGCTCGAGTAGAACCGAAAGGGAAGCGGCGAGTTGGTCGTCAGTGCAAGGGTGACTTGGAGGAGGTCATGTGAAGAGGAGATGAAAACGTGTGGGCAGACTTGGAGCCAGGTGAAGACTCTAGCAGAGAACAGAACGCAATGGAGACGCACGGCTGAAGCCCTATGTTCCCCTAGTAATTAAAGGATATAATAATAATAATAATAAATACGTGTAGCAGTTTAATGCGATTGTACAACATTTGAAGATGACTTCGTTGATAAAGAAGGTTTCCTTCGCTTGACTGTTCTTCGTTTAATTCTGATAATTATGAGGTAAATGTGAGCTGTATTCGGTAGATGCATCACATGGATAATTACGGAGTCTAAATCTAAGTAGATATGTATAATACCTATCCTGTGCAGAGCACTTTGTTAATTCATTGAATAGTAAAGCAAATGTTAGAAATGATCAATACGAACCATAAACATAGTGCCCAGAAGTCAGTATTGATGTTACCTATGTTAATTACTATTCATTCGACATGATGCTTTAAAATTATGTTTTCTACAGTAATGCAGGCAATGCGGTGTATACAACAAAATATAAAACGCACATTTTGTATCCAGACTGCTTGACTTACTAAGCATTTGATGTAGGGTTGACAGTGCTATCCCTGAATGTTGTAGTTTCATTTGTATTACTACCAAAGACTGTTTCAGAAAATCTCATATCCATTCAAAATATTCTTTTTGGTAACAGATGAAGTTTGTCACTCACTCACGCTTACTGAGGAGGTGTACAACACTTATTAAACACCATGTTAAAGGTAAAACTAAGGAAAGAGAGACTTACTCTTTAGTTTTGTCTTGTTCCTGCATTTCATCAGATTTTATTGGATGATCTGATGAAGTTGTTCGTTCGTGCATTTTCTTTTTTAACCGTCGTCTACTAGTGCTACTGCTTTGACCTGAACGAGATCTTGTTTTTTTATGTGATGACGATCTGGAAAGTGTACCATGACGTTGGCGATGATGTACTGTCTTCTTGTCGTCTTTCTCCTTTCGTTCATTTAATAGACTTTGTTTCTTTTTCGACTCTGAAGACGATACTGTCGGCTGAATCTTGTCACTGTCATCAACGATTTTGGTTTTGCTATCTCCTCCTTCATCATCTGGATGGTATTCACCTGATTTTAAAGCACTTAAAATTGGATTCGATAGACTAACTTTCTCCATGTTCATTAACTTTTCATTGTAACGTTTGATTTTTTCTAATTTCTCAGTTAATGCACGTTGTTTGGCTAGTTCTTGTTTTAATATTCGCTCTTGTGATTTAAGGCTGGACAAAAGTTCTCTCTGTGAATTTTTCACATCTGACAACTTTTCGCCTGACAGCATTGATGATGAATAATCTAAGTTAGACTTTAATAGAACAGTTTCATCAAGCGAAATTTTCTCCAACGATTTACTACTTGAACTGATCGACGCACCTTTATGGTCGCTAAATTCATCTGAATGGTAATCTTTGTATGATTTTTCAGATTTATCTTGATGATGATGGTGATGACTTTGCCGGTAGTGATGATGGTGAGGGTGATAACCTGATGAATGTTTTCCAGATGAATGGCGACTGCGACTGTGGTACCGATGATGATCTGAGTGGTGAGAATGATGGCGTTCGGGATGCTTGTGAGAAACACGTCTATGATTTTGATGTTCAGATGCATGACGTTTATAATGACCATGTCTTGATCGTGAAGTGCACGTATGACAATAGCATGGTTGATGACGGTAAGAATCATGATATTTACGAAATGAACTGGGTCTACTGTGGTGAGACCGATGTGTATAGTGAGGATATTCACAAGATGATGAAGAATATGATGACAGAGAGTAATCATCATAACCATGCTTGTGAACGCGCTCACATGAGCAGCCACCGCTTGGTGTATAATCATAATCAGAAAGCATAGAATATGAACTGGAAGAGGTTGACATTTCAGAGCTAAGGGAAATATCTGTGCTTCCTGGTTCAATGGAATGGCATGAAAGAGGTAGTGAGGGAGAGTGAGATCTGAGGGAACGTTGACTTAAACTGGTTTGAGAATGTTCCTTGGCTAACAGAGAAGTCATATCAATTTTCTGCCGAGAATGTAAATCAACGTCATTCTGTATTTCTACAGGATTGCCATCTTCATCTTTTGCATCTTCGGGTGCAGTTTCTTTAGCGTAAGCTGTTTGAGATTTTTCTATCCACTCTTCCACTTGTTTCTTACTAGCCTTTGCTTCTACTTTACATGACTTTTCAACAGTTTTCATACCTTTCGTATCTGTGATTGGTTCCTCTTCCGATTCAGAATCTAAGTAGATAGGCGTACGTGGAGAAACACCTAGAAATTGAGTTCAGAATAAAAGAATATCTCATAAATACACATTTTTATGTTACTGTAACAGTTGGCTAAATTAAAACAGTTTCTACGCTAATATGGTATGCATTACTACTGAGCATATTTTATAAAAGAAACATAAACAGACTATTTACAAATTTGGATGAATAAAACATCCCGATTAAATGCGGCACTCTAAATAATAGTTCCCATTAGCTTTTGTTCTCCTTTCTTTGTTACTATTATATTGTTGCTAACATATTCTATTACACACTAATTTTATATTTCATATCCTGTGGTGCATTGTTTAAATATGTGAATACAATGCTGTTCTTTTTTTCTTTTTCTTGTTGTTGCTTTTTTATTTTTAAAAATCTTATAAAAATTTATGAGGTAATTAGATGCAATATTGTAATGCAAGCTGAAAATTCCATACCTGTACCACAAATACTGTTTGGAATAAAACTATTATTATTAAAAAAAATTAGTTCATTTATTCTTGGCATTTAAACTTGAAATGATCGAGATTTTTTAAAAAGGTTTGACTTCTAATATGATTTGATAATGGAGAGACTTACACTGATTTCATTCCTGGAATTTTTGGAATTAAGAGTTTATAAAATAGTGGGTTGCACGACTATACGTTATTTCACTCTACTAACATAGCATTTTTATAAGCTGATATCGAGTATTGATTTGAAGAGATTCAATCGGTTAGAGGACTTCATCATGAGCTGACATCAGTTAGAGAACCATTGGAAAATCTGAGGGTACTGGATAGTTGTTTTGTCCTAGTTCGGAACTCTTTAGCACCAGACACACATCGAGGTTGAAGAGTACCAAACCAGGAGAAAACAACTGTCTTTTACTCCCAGGTTTTCCCCATAATTATGTAGCCAATGTCAACTGGCAATGAAATCTCGTAATTCAATTTCAGTTATGCATCCACGCTGCATACATTATTTTCATAACTCCACTTAATATTTGTGCGTCGGTGGGACAACTGCAGAATGTTCACCAACCACGCGGGTGTTTAGGGGTTTAATCCTCGGCCGACGCACACCTTTACCTCGCTAAGCCAGTAATAGCACTAGTAAAGGGGATCGGGCATGAGGCTAGCAACCCCATCCCGTAAAAATAAAACACCACTGCTACCGAAACATCAAAGCTTTGGCTTGAAGCCCTTTATTGCACTGGGAATGTAAAGGAAGAAAACTTCTTAATATTTAGAAGGTTACTAAAACGGTGATGTAACAATATTAATGTTAAATAAATCATTTATTCCACTGCAAGAATTTATTTATCTTCATGTTGAAATCCTTAACTGTAGCAACTCAGTGACTGTGACCACTTATTCAGTGTAATACGTGTAATGTACTGTTAGTACAAATGTGATGAATTGTGCTTCTTACCAAAATAAAACGACTAAACCAGTTCAGAACCAAGCAAATAGTAAACAGGAGGGTATTTAACAAATACAGCCAGGATTTGTATGTCAAAACTTTTGATATGTGTCTGAAGCTTAGTTCGAGATTTAGTGAGAATACAAGGATGTTTGGAATAATGTACTTAAAATGACTCACTGTTTTTAGAAAATTCATGACGCCCAATGAAGAAGATACATCTGATCAGACGTTTATCAGCAGAGATGATAACTTCCGTATCATTTTAATGCCTAAGGCACTGCTTCAATTGGCCCTTAATTTATTCTCACTCTTCCAAATGTGTTATATTTATTAACCCTTTGATTAGTGGTAGTTTATAGTTTTAAAAAAAGTATTTTCAAGTGGTGTTCATGATTTTGAAAATGACATAATTTATACTTTGTTGTTTAGTTAGTTCCCTGACTAATTATCATCTATATAACTTGCATGATATTGGCGAAAATGATTCACAAAAAAGTAATCACGTTTATTCAGCAATTTCATTTAAATTTTTGAAAATTTCCAAAATGTTAATTTTTATCTGTCCGTCTCAAATGTTGGTTAGGAAAGTCACATTCTATTTTATAAAAAATGAACTTTTCAACAAACCTGTGAAACTGACTTCTACTATGTTACAGTTGGAGAGTAGTGTTAAGAGTACTAAAAGTACCACAAAAACTGCCGTGTGTTAAAGTGAATATATAGTCAGACCCAATCGAGCAACATTGAAGGTGTAGTCAATATGTAATCACTGAAACTCCTTCTTTCTTATTTTGGTAGCCTAATGCATCAAGTATGAAAACGACCTTGAAAAAGAGAAATACGCGTTGAAATTTCTCGAGAAACTTAATTATCGTGCACAATTATACTCACTGGATTAGAAACTTCTAATTACACCTTTTAAATATTCCCCAAACACTTTACGTCACTTTTTTTTGATTATGGTTAATTCCAAAGCATCGTGAATTAATGTTGGCTTTCACTACTTGAGAAAAATGTATTCTACAAAATTAAACCCTGTACACAAGTGAAACAAGTTTACTAATAAGAAAATTGTCTGTATGCAGTTTATGAAAAAAATTGTGACTTGGGTCATAGGTGAAGATGAATAGAGAATTTGTATGACATCATGATCTGAAAAAACACCTGTGGGTTAACGGCTTAATATTCAACTGACTGACAAAAGCGACTACGCTGGTCAGGAGGTCTTTCGCTTATTTAAGTATTCATAGATTTCAGTCAGCTAGTAGGTAGAAGAGTAATAGAGAGGAAGACCAGTAGTTCAGCGAAGAGTCCCTTTTCGGCTAATTCATTTTCATAGCTGTACAATCTCAAACATATGTGGTTGTTCTGTGTGTGTGTGTGGACATTATAGTTGTCAAACAAAAATACAATTGTCAAGTATTGGTTTGTAGGGATTTGACTGATTGTTTGGAAGATTTCACCATGAGCTCAGATCGGTTAGAGAACCACTGGAAAACATGGGAGTACTGGACAGCTGTTTCGTCCTAGTTTGAAACTCTAGTGGGAAGTCGTGACTAGTAGGGTGCAGTAGGTCGAAGGTGAGCACAGTTACTCATCGAAGACATTGCTAAGGGGTGACGCTATGTCGTGAATTGGCAGAAGTTAGAATTCATGGGCTGGTTATTGGATCGAGTCCCAGTGAGTGGCTTAATGGTCTGCGAGCTCGCCTTGTAATCGAAAAGTCCTGGGTTCGAACCCAGGTGGGTGCGTGCCGATGAAGAGTCTCAAAATGGGATGAAACAACTGTCCAATACTCCCAGGTTTTTCAATGGTTCTCTAACCGATGTCAGCTCATGATAAAATCCTCCAACTAATCGGAAATACAATTGGTCAGGGTTGTTGTAACTAAGGTAGTGAAAATTAGTAAGTTTCTGGTGGAGTTATGTGATACGAAAAGTGATCAGAGGGCAGTAACAAAAGCGATGAGTTGTCACAAACGATTGTTATACAGGGATTAAATAATAACATGAATAGTTCGATGAAAGACTCGTGCTCAAGGTGTACAGGAAAACAAAATAAAATACGGAATTAATTAAGAGTTTTAGAGGAATACAAGAGTTTTAAGTAGTTAGAAAAACAAACAAACAATTAAGAAGAGTAATAGGTAAATGTCTATTCATTAACACCTAACCGCATTGAATTAGAAAGAGAAAAAATGATCGGTTGTTTACTGGTTTGATTATATGCAATAGATTCGTACTCGAAATTGGACTCCCGTATCTGAATTTGCATAGCTTCAACCTTAAAACCACTGCCTTAGAAACTGCATTAAATTTTTATAAGTTTTAAATACAAAGGAATTGAATGCAGTTCCGAAACATTTTAACACTATGAATTGTTTTTCAGATAACTCTTTCAAGGAATTTCTGTTATGCAAATGGCTATGAGTGCGTTTATCACCTCGCCTAAATCAAATAATTCACTAGTGAAACCACGTAGTGAAAAGTTCAGGTAATGTTAATCAACATCATTAATTCTCCAAATGTGTGGGTGAACACATACAAAGCAGCATACCATGTACACCATAGCTCAACAATTTGCTTGAGCTTCTGATTGATTTCTGTAGTATAGACGTTCATATACCAACACAACTTCAAATAGTTTTCATTTTGAGAAAATAAAACATGGCAGATGTTTTCATTGAACAAAGCTCTAAAAGATTTTATCGCGTTTTTGCTGGCACTTGTAATATATTACTGATTCATCTAAGGTCACACTTATCTAAATATATAATATACACATCGAACAATAGGAATTATTAAAACAACGGTTACAACGAAGGGAGTTTTCGTTTCGACGTAGTCATCATCAAGTGATTAACTGTCCGTTCCATGTGAGATTCTTGTAGAAGAATCTTCTCAGCGAGTTGCCAGCATTCCTTAGCAGTTGAACGTCGAGAAAATGAGATGCTGAGTCAGACTCAGCTTCCAGAGTGAGTTCGATGTTTGGGCGGGCATCATTCAAGAAGATCCATCTACAAGAAGCCCACATGGAACAGACAGTTTATCAATTTTCAAATTTGTGTGCCTCTAAGCAGAAAGAGAAACCTAATATACTCTTTTACCCCGAGGATTTAGAGGATTTACACTGAGGAGTCAATCGACGAAGAATTGCATAATCTCCGAGGGACCTTTATATAAATTGGTTTCCCACCCAGATTCATAGACAAGAATCTAAAACCAAAGTAAACGCCTGGAAAGGTCCGAGTCACCCTCCAAAAGATGCTAATACTGAACCTCGAATCTAAAAGTGATACCGAAGCAAAACGTCTCCATTGACAGATTTCAAAGTCTCTTAGCAAACTATACTGTGCCACCAGCCTACAAGTAAAATTTTCCCGCAAGAAACTATTCAACCAGCAAGTGGAAGACAAGCTGCCGCATTGGACTACTTCAGCTCTTGTGGAGCCAAGTACATTGGCGACCGATTGTGAAAGACGCTCGTAAACACTATCCAGCACGGTTAGCAAAGGTAGAACAGAAGGGTGTATACAGTTTGGTAACAGAACATCTGGTGAATTCAGGACTTTCAGCTCCATTTGAAAAGCCCTTCAAAGTCATATACAAGATCCGATCAAACCTATCAAAGGGAGTGAAATCAAGGCATCTAGGAATAGCTGAGGCACTAGCAATCCAAAAGCTCAAGCTGAAGCTGTTTGTTCAAAAACAATACGTCAAAAATTTGTCCCTACCATGGCCATCATGGAATGTCAGTCGCACCAATAATCATTATCCTATTACCTTTCTCATTCAACCTTCTTGTTTATTTCTGTTATTTTTACGTTTTTGATTCCTATCTGCACTACTAGATTTGGTTGCTTTTTTATTTTTTTTACATGTCCGAACTTCCTACCTATTTCATTATTACTACGTTCTTAATCTGTAGTTTTTACAAATGGTGAAGTTTTTCAGTAATTATGATCTTATTATGCCTTTATCACACTTTCCATTTTATTAATTTCGCCTTTGACCTGAAATATTTTCAGAATAGTACTACTACCTATCTATCTTACTATATTCTGTATCCATTCTTCCTGTTTATTACACTTTGTCATTTTATTAATTTAGCCTTTGACCAGAAACAGTTCTGGAAATTCTTACACACTTGCTATAAAATAACCCGAATATACAGCCTAGTTGATGGCTTCATTGGAAAGAACATTTTCTTCGCTGTAACCATCTTTTAAAACATGTAATAATGAACGGAGGACTATTCACAGTGCAACACTATATACATCAGTGGTTACTGATCACGATGGTTATCACAAAGCACTTGCATGTACTTAATGTTTAATTCATAAATTTATTCTAAGATTAGTGTTGCACACACCCCCACCGCCAGGGAATGAAATATATGTCAATGTTACATAAGAACTTCATTTATAAAAAATATATCTATTAAACGGATAATCACTTAACAATTTACTGGTGCCAATAAAAGTGGAGTTCATAAATTAGGTCAAATAATTTTGAGAAACAGAACAACAAACCTGATATTGAATCCAGTGCTGGAATAAGACTTGTAATATCCATACCAGCGGAAGAACTAATTGCTTTACTTTCTTCCATTGGAGTTGATTTTGCCGGTTTGTGTGAAGATGCAGTACCAGTGGCACTGGACGGCATGGCAACACTAGCAGGAGTAGATGTGCTTGCCGCTACTCCAGTGTAGACAGACTTCACCTGTCCACTTATCATATCCGACTGTTTACTTTTATCCATAGCCTAGATTCATGAGTATTAAAAACAAATATGCAGGGGACTAATCACTTTAAATAGAAACAGATATACACCGTGGAAATAAACTATAGGAATACTTTCTCCATAAACTGATCACTTATGTCAACACAGGCTAGGTCCGTATTTAATATTTAGGCGTAAATGTAATGGTAAATTCAATCTTAGGTACAAACCACTACTGACCGATTAAATAATGACTTGGCATTACGACTAATCTACATGCCATGATTATTCTCCACCTATACTTGATGTTTTTTATCTCCAAAGTACTAGAATATATTAAGATTATGAAAGAAATTAAGTAATTCCAACATTCGGGTTGCATAAACAGCTGACAAACAACCATAAAAATACGATAGATCCATTTTATCCTTCTCCATTTGTTGTTACTGCATTGTCCAGATTCATAAAAGGAAATTAGCGTGAGAAATTTATCAATCTCATATGGAAAGATAATTATCAGTTTATGTTAACATGACTGGCATTATGAATTGTGGATTCTTCTTTGGGACAAAAAGCAACAACAAGAAGACTGAGTGTGCATTACTTTCCCTTTTTAGGGAATGTCAATCATGCGCTAAATGTGTGGCATACTATCTTGGTAAAACGATATTTCTATTAAAATTCAATGGATGAGAATCTCGGGACAAGATACATACATTTCTATCTAGGGAAACATGTTTCCATTTACATTTAACAATACTATTGTTTAATTAGAGCTGCTAATTCATCCACATTTTCCAGTTCTGCACACAGTATGAATCGTGACTGGCACAGTTCTATTATATATAGAACAACCACTGGTTTCATCAATGAGCGGGGTGGTAGTGAAAAATATTCATCATTTTTATGTAGCAGTATTGTATACTTAGCGATTTATAAAATCTTATGCAGAATCTTTTCTCTGCACCACATTATAAGCTATTTTAACGGATACATTGCATATTTGCTCGAGAGACTCTGGGTATTATTGGGAACTTTACAAAACCCAGGTCACTATCTAGGCATCACTTCTAACGCATTCTGAACCATCTTTGTAAGTTATGGTTGAAGATCTCCAAATGTCTGTCTTTAGAAAGTCCCCAATAAGAAAATTTTTAAGGGGTTAAAGTCAACACAATATAGTAATGTAATATTAGAGACTTTTAATGAAGCTTTTTAGTTGATGTTATTAGTTCACCCAGGGTTTTATAGATTACCACCTTATATAACGCATTTGATTTTGAGAAGGCGATCATTCCAGCGGTATACTATTCAGTCTGATTAAATCTGGAGGTCAGTTAAAGGTAATGTATCCAGCTATCAGTGATAAAGACGTGAAAATTGAATACTGTAAGCTCCTATCTCAGTATTTTCGCAAAGTTACCATATTGAGAACTAAAAAATAGCGAACCTATCTGAATTATTAGAGAATACTGTGTTAATTAGGAATATTTCACAAAACTTACCTTCTTAGATTCTTTGATATGAATGTCTGTAGTACGTTTATCTCCAGATTTTGTTATACCAGTATACGGACGGCTTGCACTCACACTGAATCCAGCAGACCGTAAATCTTCTCTTAGCTGTTCAAAAGTTTCATTCGTGTCCTATTTTGTATTGAAAGTAGAAGTTCAAATATAGATTAGTAGTAGAAACAAATGAGGTGGTTGTTGCCTTAACACTTGAAATTTTTATTCATTTCATTATTATAGCTTGATTCCACACAGTGCTACTTGGTACAAGTATGAAATTTTCAGCATGTGATATCGGTAGCTCAAATTTATCAGGCCGACCATAGATATCAGACGTGCGTCGGCGGGAGATCGAACCTCAGACCATGTGCATGGTCGGCGAGAGTCCTAACCGCTGTGCCACCGACGCACATTTACGTCAGCGTAAAGTTACGGTGGGAATACTATTAATTAATAGAACTGAGGTGCAAACGAATAACTTCTCTCGAATTAGATGAGAAGCACCAACTTTTCAGTCACGGTATTAACTATTACCAAACAGAAAATGCACAAGGTCTTACTTAAAGAAAAGCATACTAAGTTACTGAGAAACAAATAACATTCAAGAGCAATAAGATAAACAGTGGGACAAGACTAGTTTATTACTTTATTAACTTAAGTTTTGTATGCTTTACTACCACGTCTGATATTTTATAAAAGGGACTGAAAAAGAAGTTCTGAATAATTCTTCCCCTTGGAAATAAAATGTATTGATAAGTACAAGGATCTCTTGTTATTTCTCCTTCATATATGACAAAAACTGAACTGAGGGTATATTTATATTGTGTATAAATGGTTAGCAGTCCTTATTTTATTTAGCGTAACAGTAGGAATTATACTAAATTGGAAACGATTAGCTACTATAAGGACATATAGACATGTGGACTATGGCCTGACAGTTTGTTCTTATGTTTCTGGAATTACAAAATATGACACTCAACCCAATGAGATATGATATTGGATAAGTTTATTCTAAATATCACACAGCGATGCAATATTAACAACTGGATGACAAGGTTTCAAGCACAATTTATTGCTCATAATCATATCAATTTAGTCACACGGCTTTACAATTTGTCTTAATGAATATACATATTTTCACTCATACGCTCTCCTCCTTGTTATGTGTTAGCGCTTTCCATATCCCTGATATAGGCGTTACGTTGCGTCATTCGATTCCATCTGTGTGGTGTTGAATCGATAAACAAAGCTTCAGCGATTAACTAACCTCTCTCTTCACCTAACTATATTACTTTCTAATACTTTCATACTGTCACATCTACCCTACTATGTGATCACATGCAAGTGAATGCGATGCAATGACTGAGCTGCGTTTTGACTAGGTTATTTAACCTAGCCGGGTCAGTCATTCAAGGTCTAGCTAAATTTTGTATGTTCCAATAATCTAATTGACCTCGATCTACTAGTGGAGTTACATTCTACCACAGTGCCCAAGTTCTACACTTACGCCAGTCGTGTGTGATAAGTAGTTTAAATGGTCAGAAGTGCATTTGAAAACCTTATCTTGAAGTAGGCACTATGTATTTCTATCACTGATTATAAATATTTTATGCCAGGGATTAAGTCAAGATATGACGTAATTAAACTCAAAGACTTCACAGCACTGTCGACTTTATATTGCACAAAACGAGCCAAGAAATTGGACTTCCTTTCATTTATTCGGATTTTGAATTTTCCACAAAAACATTCTCCAAAATAAAAAACGTAAATAGGAGGAAAATTCACTCCATTCAATGTATGTAAGAAAACTAAGATTCATAACCGAGAATATAAACGAGCAAATATTAAGTAAAAATGAAGTCTGCAAACCTAATTTCGATGATAAATCTAATTAAAAATAAAATATTTCTCGTTTGAATGAGACTAAATGACTAAATAATCACTTGATCAAAACATAGAAAATCAAATTATCGGTCTTTCGCATATCTCAAAACAGTCTGAGTTGGTCTTAAATTCGCAGACTGATTTTGATCTAGTGGAGACAATAATTAGGCCAAAAATATAAAAAGATGGATCACAGAGGGATTTGAATATGGTTAAACTAGGCTGAATTCCTGTTTTCCCTTACTCTTCTTGCGCAGTATTGTTATTGGCTTATAGCTTTTGTTTTATTCCTTTACGTCCCCAGTGAAACATAGGGGTTCAAGCTACAGTCTTAAAGTTTCAGTAGCAGTAGTACTTATTCTTACTGGATGGGGCCGATAGCTTCATGCTAAAACCTTCCCCTTTTACTAGTCTTACTACTGGCTTAGCGAGGTAAAGGAGTGAGTCGGTTGGGAATTGGACTCCGGACCACCTGCCTGGTTGGTGAGCATTCTACCGCTGTGCCACCGGCACACAGGTTTATAGCTTAATTAATACTAATTTGAATCCTAGTTAGTATTAAATTTATTTCCTTCCCTGTTGTCTCATATTTGCTTGAAAATAATGGAGCTTTCATTATTTTTAGTAGTCAATATCTCTGCTCTAGAGGTTGGAAAGAGAAGTAATGCTATTTATTCACTGCTTGTTCGTAAGACATTCAACACTAGAAAGGTTTGTTTTCAAATGTATTTATCACCTTAAATGGGTCTGATAACTAAGGTTAAAACCATAAACCATCTGCTGGAATACAGTAAAGAAAATTGTTCAGCTTTCATGGAGTTGAATTATTTTCCGTTTTATAACTTTCCAACTACCTCGTAATTTTGTTTGTTTTTAATACATATATACACGCTTCATATACTTGGATAAATAATTTTAACATAAATAGATGTTGGGATTCGTTTTCCTGCTCTGATATTTCCTACAAATACAGTTTCACATCGTAATGTATCCCAGACATATAAAATATTTCCCGTCAATTATAACGTTTCACTTCAAACAAATAGGCTAAAATAGCGAATAACCCACCCATCATATTATTTATACGCCAAAGAATCATAGTAAAAACTGAAAACAAGGAAGACACGAGATTACATGAAAATCCTCTGGGAAAAAGTGTACCACAAAAAGAATAACAAGATGAGTATATATGGTCTCATCTTTCAGGAAGTGTCATTTACCGTCACATTCACCTGTGGTTTACAATTTTTCAACAGTAGTTACAACTGCCCTAAGACTTCTGTCATAACTACTCAAAATAGGAGTATAAACTGTTGCAAAGCATCGGGATATAATCTAATGATGCCCAACGCTTTTTCATTTTTAACAATTATCGTATTTTTATATATGTATTGGATGAAGTGATTCTCAGTTTTCCTAAATAATTATATTTTTGAAAACATCCCTTTCATTTATCAAAAACAACATAAAATCGAAATGTCGACAGCTATTTCATAATTCTTTGTGTATTTAAGAAGAAAACAAACTGATTCACCGATTCGAAATAAAAAATGATTTATCACCCGATTATTATATCCGTTATAATAATCTGCAGTTACATGTCATAATCGAACTGTTTATATATATATATATATATATATATATATATACGAACCTTTCTTCTCCTTATTTCTGACAGATAACATATAACTTAATTTAGTACTTAAAAATAGGGAGAGAGATCTTAAAACATTTCGGTTTGTAATTAGAACAAACAAACGGATTAACGCATATTTTTATGTATCGATTTGTTATAACATTTTGCCCAACGCAGGTGAAATTATCTTGTAATACAACAAGGAAAAATGAAACATCATAAGATAAAAACCATATGCTATTGTCACTGCCAATTCAGATAGCCGTATGATTATCTTTTCTTTAAGAGCATTAAAAGTACAACAGAAATTTCTGCAGTTGATAATCCATATGGCTTTCCATGGAGATATACCTTTATCAAAATATATCGATTTCTGCGGTTAAATATAAAGACTAGGATGTAATAATAATTTGCTTTATTGCAAAACAGTACTTGTGATACAGAATAGAATTCTCAGCATTTCACTACAGTATTGCATCCAGTTTGTACATTAACAATAAATAAAGTTCTACATAGATTAAGGGTAATCTCAGTTAGTTTTGACAACATATTAGCATATCGGTAGCAAAGCCAAAAGTGAACAGAATGTTTGAAGGTGATAGAAAAGTAGATACTAGCATATTTACTAGCGTAAGCGGTAACAAAGAGGTCGAGATATACAGAGTATGAAAGAGCGAAGAATAGTGTTTTAAGTAGAGTTTGTAAGGTAGAGAGAAACAAAAGAAGAGAAAAGGAAAAGAAAGAAAGAAAACGTTGTACCTATAAATGATATGAGTTGGAAAGACGAGATCCAAATTGTTCTACCGACTATTTAATAAGTTATGTTTCACGCCAAATGCTTTCTTTATCGCATAGAACTCGAGCTAAGTAGGGTATGGTTGAGTTTTTGTACTCGCTAGTGTTAGCATATAGTTTTCTATATAGGCTTTCGGTCCTGCCTGATGAGATACAAAGGGAGAGTTGTGAATGAAGAGGGTGGTGTGAGTTTGATAGAATGGATTTAACCCATTTTTCACATGAGTCCAAGTGCCTGTCGACCAGAATATTAACAAGCTGGTTGAGTGGCACATTGCTTACCCTGCTGACAACTTTTAACACCCTACGTGATAAGATACAGTCGTTCTTCAGTAGCCCTGGAAAAACTAAGGGGGAACAATAGAGAATAATAGACAGAATGCAAGAGTTAACGAGGGTTGGGTTATTCCAGAATGTCATAACTTCTCGATATAGAAGGTAAGATGGAATATTTTCTTAGAAATCATCAAGATATGAGACGAATCATCTCGAACTAATTTTCTTGGTGTTTTTGTTGTTGTAGACAACATCCTAAACTCTCACTTTATTGTGAAGGGAAGTTTGGGGAAATTTGCGGACTCTATTAACCATTTCTGCTGATTTGTTTGAATGTGATGATTTATTACCTGATAAACCTGATCGATATCAACATATCTGTCGGTTGCGGATTTTCCTGATTGCCAGGTTTCTAGTATTTCTTTGGTATTCTTAATGTTTTCTGTGTTTAACACGTACGAATTATTGCAGTCGGAAGGGTGTCCACCTTTGTCTATGTGCGCTGATGTGAATGGATAATTTTCACATGTCTTGAATGTTAGTT